TTCATTACCAAATAAAATATTACGTTGTTTCTTCTTCTTCGTCTTTTTTCCTGGTTGTTTCTGTTTTCTAATTCAGTCACACAAAATCTAGTCCACATGTTTGAAATGTGTTTATTTTTTATTAGCCCTGTTCATCCAAGTTCATAAAACAAGAATTTGATGATTCAAACGACAGAAGAAGATAAATATAAATTACTTCTCTATTTTTGCTTCCTGTCTGAACAGCATTAAACAGGAAGTGTCCACCACAAGCAAAACTGAGATCACAACAAAAAAAGGTGTAAAACTGAAAATGACAAACTAAAATCAAGAACATGGCTGAAGATAAAAAACAGAACCTGAGAAGAAATGAGACAAAAATAATGAAAAGTAAAGGAACAAACACAAGAAAACACAAAGAGAAAATATGAAGGTTACTGTTGGATTTAACAATAAATTTCATAAACACTGTGTGTTGTTTACAATAAAGATTATTAAATGGGGGGGAGAGACAAAGTGGCCAAAAATCAAGTGTGTTAAAAATTACCTGATAATTACTCTTCTGATCCACATGGAGTTTAAAGATGAGCTTAAATACAGTTATTTTTTTGTCTCCATCAGAACTTCTGTCTGTTAAACAAACAATTATATTATATTATTTTATTACCAAACAGACTGAAAATATGAAGCAAGACTATCTGAAAACCTGCAGCAACAATGTGTCCATTAGAAGGAAACATGAAGGTCTCACAGGTTTATTAAAGATGACTAAAAAACAAGTTCCTGCTTCAGAACAGATCGAGTTTATTTGGAGGTTTGATGGAGAAAAGGAAACTTCAGGAGAAGAGAGATGAGATCTGCTCAGAAGTGATGCTCTGTGGTGACATCATCATAGTTATCATCCAATCCGTGCTCAGCAGGAGTGGGCGGAGTCATCCTTACTGAGGTGTGAAGGTCACTTTCTGTAGTCAGAAAAAAAAAGTAGATAAATATTTCAGAAAAATGTCATTGATTGATTGATTGATTGATTGATTGATTGATTGATTTATTGATTGACAGCTCACTGATGGACTCAGAGTGGTACCTTTGGTTCTGTGTTGATATAAAGACACCAGGAGGAGAGTGGAGATGAAGTACGGACAGAACACCACCAGGTGGAGGACCGGTCTGATCCACAGGGAGGTCGAGGCAGGGGGCGGGTCTACATTAGTGGGCGGGGCTTTGGTTGAAGGCTGTTCTATAAACAGAATCCTACCTGATCAGGTGACTGTGAGAATATAAAGAGAGTTTAAACCAAAGCTGAGTGTCCTGACCTGAGACAGAGATCCAGCTGGGTTCAGAGCCTCCATGACCCCTGATGGTACACCTGTAGAGACCTTCATCAGACCTGCTCACATGCTGGAGGCTCATGGTTCCTGTTGGCTCAGACCCTATGGAGGTGTTGTCTTTATAGAACTCAGCTGGGAGCTTGGAGGGTGTGTCC